TAATTGAAAGCGATTCTAAAACTATCATGAAAACTTTTGCTTTCTGAAGCCAAGTTACATGGTTCCGAAAACACAATTGCATGTATAGAAAAGATTTACTTTTTTGTTATGACCCTTAGGTACTTTTTTTTCTGTTCCCACGATTTTTATCCGATGACATACATTGTTACACGAAAAACTTACCTACTATCAATACAATCATATGGTAGATAAGATGGCACACCTTATGCAATACACACAGCATCAATATGGTGTACACGCAATTTAGCTCTTTACTACATATGCAGACGGTTTAATATCGTCTTTATATATCTATTGCAATATCTAGTACACACAAATTCACACGGCTTCTTATAAATCCTTGACTCGGCAGCTAATAAGCTATAATTTTGCGTTATTAAAGAGGCTCTTTTATAGACAGGGTCCCATTCCTTCGACATAAGAATGTTTCTTTAGTTCTTACAAATTATATAATCTAGAATTTAATTATTTTGCATCTATCACAGATTCTATAGATGTATGTTAGTTATTGTATAGTGTATTACATAATACACTTTAACGGTTTTAAACGCGATATGTATGGGTTAAAGTTTTTTAATATTATTTAAACTACGGCCCAACGTTTCGGATGCTTTGCAGCAGCCGTGGTCACTGGGAGTCTCCCTGTTAAAATAAGTAGAACTAATATAAACCGCGTTTCAAACCGTTAAGTGTTTTATTTAATTGTATGTTTGTAATTCGAAATTAGTAACTACAATTTAACTAACCAACAACAATACATACTCGGGCGTAGAAATTTTTTGCGTGTACACTAAATCGTCATGTGAATTATTTTTATCGTACAGGGTGTCAAAGTTAACAGACCATAATTATCTTTTGATGCGCATACTTTCCATCGTTGTAGAGGAAAATATAAGGCACAATTTTTTTTTAATTCACAGTATATTATAAAGAGAAATTTATTCTCATAGGGCAGCGAGTAATTGTCTCCCAGGAGAAGGTCGGAAGCTTAAAAGTACATTGAAAATAAAATACAAATTGGTTTACTGGCTGTACTCAAAACTTCAACAAATCATTATATTTTTAACGTCAATAGGGCAAGTGTTTTTTTTTAATTGTATATATCTTCTTGTCATAATAAATATCATTGAAGCCCAGACTTCAAGATCAGTACTGGTAACCAAATAGCCAACACGTCTCTCAACTTTATGTACATGTAAATTCATTAAAAAAATACTTACATAGTATATTGATCGAAAATGTTATGAGCCCATTACTAGTGTATAAGTAAATCATTTGACTTCATTACAACTTGGAATCGTGATGGCACAATCTTGTCATCATGCTGTCGGGCCGTGCTCGGCGTTCTAAACCAGAATTTTCCAACATTTGGTAGATAATTTAACATTTGACCAAATCGGTGCTCGCTAATATCACTAAATAACTAATATTTTATTTGGGAAATTAGCACACTATCGTGAAGGATTTGAATACATTTTGACTTTTAAATCCGTCTTGAAAACACGATGTCATTGTTGTGTTTGCAAATATCGGTCTAATTAACTCGATGGATTGAAAAGGAGCAAGACTAGGAAGGGTGGGATTGCAACAATTATTAATACCAAGTAAATTGTAAAATATGTTAATATGTAGAAAATAATGTGTACTAGTTTGGGTGGCATAAGCGTGTTCGTAACGATATATGCTGATTGTCTCCTGATTATAAGTTGCCATTGTTTTTTTAAGTCTCATGTATTTATAATATACGGGTAAATTATATTATAATTTGTTTTATTAAAAAAATCTAGGGATATTATTATTCATCTTTGAGGAATTCCGTTACGTGCGCTGCGAAAACGGTACAAGAGAAATAAGTTTTATAAAAAAAAAATCCGTTTTAAATGATCTGAAAAAATGTCCGCGAGACTACATTCATCTTGTAAGATTAACTCGCAAGAATTGCTTTTATAGTAATTAAATTTAGTCAAAATTATTTCTTAGAGTTATATCAACATATTCATATTAGTCTTGCAAACAAGAAACCAACGTCTGCCGGCCGCACTAGTTATATTAAACAATCTCAAATTAAAATGGTAATGGTAAATAGTTAATTGTCTACAATATTTGTATATCGAACAAATAAAAACAGGAAAGTTTTAAGTGAAGGTCGTTACTTTCCATTGAGGATAAATTAATGAAGTATTTATTTGCGGTCGTCTTATACAACTTCGGGTGTTGCGCCAGTGTTGACCGCAACTGATATAGTGTAATAGAATATATGTATAAACATATGTTCTAAGCATAGACAGCTTTTAAATGAGTACTATTTTATGACAGAGAAGGTCTGATAAGCAAGAAACAGGTGTAGCGTCTTCTATCAAAAGTTCACTTGATAGAACATGCTAAACCCCAGCCATATCAAAAAACATGCGTTTTAATATTCGGTTATCCACGGACTGAAATCAAAACGATTTATGATAAAAGACAGACAACCATGGGTTTACTTGATGGTAGGTAAAATATCCCAGTCATCTATAATATGCTGTCGACCTATTTTAGCTTTATATTTAACTTGCTTAACTGCTTTTTTATCTGAGGACGATGGTTCGTACCCCAGATACACTTTCGATATTCCTGCCACCCATTGAATGGCCAGACTTCCAAACGAAGTCCAACAGGATTTAGAAAAATTATAAATTAAAAACATTTCGGATCCTATGGGATTCAAACCTGTGGATTATTAACAATGCTTTACTACTCATGCAAATACCACTCAAACTATACTAAAATTATAATATTATTAACTTTTGTGGTTTAACGATTACAGTGAATTCTAAAAACAATTTTGTATCTGACGAGAGTCTCTAACTAAAACAAAGTGAATTTTCAATGCGCGTCCCCAACCTATATTCCTAAAAGGACAAACATAAAACTCAGTAGTCCGTCGAAAAAGTTTTCCCTTTTTTCATCAGATTAATTAATCGAAACTAATTGAACTGGACTGTTGTAATCTACATAAAAAATTCATCAGTTAAAACTTTTCCTCCATCCCGAATCAACCCATTTTCATTCGTAAAGTTAAAATTAGAAATATGTTAATGGATTAATTAGCTACCAAAATAAAATTTTAAGGCATTGTGTTTTTGTATTTACCAGTTTGTTGTTCTTTATTAATTAAGGCTTTAATTCAAGGCATCCTACATTACCTTGTAGTATTCACACACCAAACAGTGTACACAGTTGTTTTAAACTTATACGATAAATGTGAAACAGATTGTAATATTTGTAACAAAGAAAACGTAAAATTAAAAGAAAGAAGGAAAATTAGTATATACTATTGAGATGTTTTACTATATTGGAGCAGACACAATTTTGTGTTCATTTTAATGCTTGATTTTATAAACAACTTATATTTTCTAGATCTAAACAATCACCCGGGTTGCAAAAATGTTGTAAAACCGCTAGGTATTCTTTTGATCATCTTCCTGTAAGTTAGGTTCGACGTTTCATTAACAAAAAAACCCTTTGAACGGTTTTAATCACGGAATGTATTATTTTATTTCTACTACGGTCCGTTTCATATGCTTTACACCAGCCATGGTCACGGAGGGATTGTGAGTTTGACGTTGTAAGCACAAGCTTTTGAGACAATATTCTCTTTGAATTCAGCAAGGATTAAAAGAAATATCACAGAAGGATAGAATAAACTTAGTATGGTCTGTAGTTTACGCGAGTAGTACTCATTTAAATAAACCACTATTAACGGCACTATATAATTTAAAAATCGAAAATAAATTGAAAAAAATTTCGACTCGGGCAGGACATCGTCAGCGTTCCGTTTTTTAAATTTTTTCCTGTGCCTTCATGTGCAATAACATGTAAAAAAAAATAAAGTTTTCAAACACTATTAACGGTTTAAAATGCGAATTCTTTGCCTCCTGCGGCTGTAGAAAATTGGAGACATTGCATGGTAGTTAAAAATAAATAACCAAATATATCTAGTCTAGTCTAAAACAATATTGCAATTGATTCTATTTACAGATTGATCAGATATCTGTGCTCTGCCTGACCGAAACAACTTATCGTTAGTCGGGAAACGTAACCTTACCAAACGTGAATACAAAACAAAACAATCTATAAAGAGAGTGTAAAGTAAGGAAGGTTAAATCCGAAGAACCTTCAAATGTCGTTAACCTCAAGTTAGATATGCCTTTGATTAAACAATGTGTCTCGATAATATCGATTGTCAATGACATCCGAATAGCCAACGCCAGGATGGATCGACAGCACATCTAGCTAAGATCAAATGTCTGGTCTATATCACCTTCCCTATCTGTCCATTTCATAAAGATTACTAACATCTTTATCTTGAAAACTTACCTTACAGACATTACATAAAACATGATGCAATGTTTAAATAAAACACTTTAACGGTTTAAAACGCGACATATTTTAGTTAAACTTGTTTGAGAATTATTTTTAACTACGGCCGGATGTTTCGGATGCTTTGCAGGAGACTAGTTAAAAATTAATTCTCAAACAAGTTTAACTAAAATATATCGCGTTATAAATCGTTAAAGTGATTTATTGAAATGTGTACTACTCGCGTAAACTACAGACATGGTGCAATGTTAACAACGTGTTTAATATTGATCAGCAAGAATCAGACGATCATGGTTTTTCTACAATTAATTGTTGTTACTGAGAACTAATTACAAACCCATAAGTATTATTATGAAACAATAACATGGGGAAAATATAATATGGAAAATGTTTTGCAAGGGCATGGTACATAAATCTAGTCATACGCCTCTATAGTGGGGACAAAATTAAAATACGATTTTAGATTGAAAAAAAAAAATGAAACGGACAAGACTCGAACCGGCATCCACAGCGTTCCATGCTGTTGCTCTAACCCAGCGAACTAACACTTCAAGTGTGTCTTCCTCTCTCTCTCTATTTTGTATGTTTTTTTGACATTTCGGTTTCTTTATCCTCAGTTTCATTCGGTGACTGACAAGAGAACACAGAACAATGAATGCGGCGAGAACAGTGTGACCATCGTCACAGAAAAGAAGATAGAAGATGATACCTCAGACTCTTCTAGCAGTGAAAATGTTGAAATAGAAGGTGAGTTAATTTCCTTTACTTAATACCAATCTTTGAAAGTCGTCGTATACATTAAACTAGCGACCCTCCTGGCTTCGCTCGGGTGCAATGCTAATATTAAAATACACTACTGAACGTTGTATATAAAAACCTTCCTCATGAATCGCTATTTATTAAAAAGAAGGGCATCAAAATCTCTTGCGTAGTTTTAAAGATTTAAGCGCACATAGGAACAGAAAAAGCGACTTTGTTTTATACATTCATTAAATAAACAAGTACCTACATAATTTTAATACTGTATGTAGTTTATTCGAGTAGTACACATGTAAATATAAAAGATTTTTAACGGTTTAAAACGCCAAATATATTAGTTAAATTTATTTGAAAAGTTATTTTAACTACGGCCTGCTGTTTTGGATGCTTTGCAGCAGTCGTGGTCACGGAGAGACTCATTTAATGTCGTACATTTTCGGTAGTTCCATCCCTATCATAGTCAATATTTGTTATTTAAATGCATGTATGTCTGTTTGTAACAATTTCAAGCGAGAACAACTTAACATAAGGAACACAAAAGCGCAAACGCAGTACTATCAATTAATAATATAGTACATGAGACTTCGTAACTATAGAAACAGTGATTTAATACGTTTTATATCAAGAAGAAATTATTCATAAAATCACTTTATTTATATAAGGGTTTATTACTTTGATAACCCTGAGTGCAAGTTTGAAACTTGAATAATTATTTCACATAAATGCGAGATCAAAGTGCGATATATTTGAATTGAAAAATATTTCGAATAAAAGTTTTTATTGAATTGAAACGTAAACCTTTTTAGAGGCATCAATTTGTATGTGGGAAATAACATATGTAGTGGAATAATTGAAAAATGTGTTCGATTTTTTTTTGTCGAAATAGTTTCTCTTTGTGCCCACAATTATATAAAAAAACACTACAGTTAACGAAGCTAAAAATTACGGTGACTAAAATATTGCGCGAATTAAGTGTTATGGCATACCAATTTAACATATCTCCATGTGATTCAAACCTTGGACCCCTGAACTCATATTCTTGTTTAAATCCGTTGTAGTTATTTTAAATTACTGCGTACTTATATAAATTATGGTTCACAAGATGTAAGATTACAAACATAATCCGGAAATATGTACATTAAAACCGGAAGTCACAAAAGTGTGTCAATGTCGTAAGGTATTTGCACTTTTATTAACGAAGTTTGACCTCAAAACCTTTAAAAATACCGCTTTGAAGTCGTGACATTTTAGTTTTGATGTGAAATCGAGAACAATTTGTTTGGTGTGTGTTAACTATGATAAAGAAGATTTTTTATCTTTTTTAGTAAAATCATCGAAAATCAATATACTCAATATAAATAATTATTATTATTTAGTATAAGCTCTTATGTGAATTAACATATTGTTGAAATTATAAACATTAACGTTTTTATATGAAAACAAAAACAGGAAAACGTAAAACAGGAATTAAACTATCCAATATTATCTCATGGGTTTGATATACAACGAAAATACAACTTAAATAATATAGTACTTTGTCACTTGTAACTACTTGTCACTCGGTAAGCTAACAACGTCGAGCTAAAATCGTAGATTAGACCTTGTCAATGATATGTTTTATTCATGAGGTAGAGGATTTTAATCTCTTCAATAAAAACAATTAAAATCGCGAATTTATTAGTACCCCCTGTTTATTTCCGCGTTATCTTTACATTAGTATGCGGTAACGCTGCTGTGTTAAAATGTATGTATATATGTAATGTATTTTATGACAAACAGACAAACAAGCATCCTGTTCAGTTGATAGGAGGTGATATACCCCGACCATAAAATATCTAAATGAGATGCATTGTTGACCTTTTTTCGCTTTGGACATTCGGAAAAACTGTAACCGAAACGCGATTTTACTATACGGCTTTTCCTTTTGAAGGCGTTGGTTCGTGGCGAGCGGAATTTTGATAATCCTGCTACCCAATGATATATACTATTTTTTATTGAATTAAAATACATGAACCGGTATGAAACCATGCTTAAAAGTAGATTATACTAGCCATAAATCGCTACTAGTGTCTAACACAATTTCAAAATTATAACAATTATCTTAAAGAACGATAATTTATACATACAATATTAATTTTTTAATGTTTATATAACATGGCATCTAGATTTATTTGGTTTTCTTTAGAGACATTTCTAGAATTATGTCGCATTCAGCCGCAGATGTGTATCTTAACAAGTTTTTTGGAAAACTCGCTTATCAAGGCCGATGCGTAAATACAAGTATTACGCAAATAAAATTCTTAAAATACGATTATGGTATCAGATGATCTCAACTGTTTACAGAATCATTCACATCTGAATGAGTGAGCCGAATGACTAGGGGCTTTACTCATTCGCGTATCTCTAAAATGACTATTATCTTCGGTAAATGTTTGAATTACTTAATAATTAATGCACCTTTAATTAAAGTATTAAATTTAAAGGATGTTTTATTTTCAAAACGTGTTTAAATATTTGTATAAAATATGATATAAGAGATAATACATTAATTACTAGAGTTATCTTTGTAAATCCGAAATATTTTTTTTTAAATGTTAGGCAAATAAATGTATGAGGTAAATTTTAGAGTACCAAGTTTAAACACAGCCATTAAAAATGTCCCAAATATACATACAACTTACACTTACAATCTAATGACTAACTTACTTTAAAGCGATGTTTTATGTTATAACAATCACAAGTTACATGAGTCGTGTGACGTCATTTCTACGTCATAAAGAAAACCAATGACTCACTCAACAAACCTGTAAACGAGTCATTCGAGAAGGAACCGTTTAAACTTTAAAGAGTTAAGTACCGCTAGTATATCGGTCAATTGTTCATTCATCGGTCAAGTGTTCTCTCAAATATACTTCATGTGTTTAGTCTGTTCTTAAAAGGATAAACATTATATTTACTATGCTACAGTAGTTAATCAAAAAACGTATGTGGGGCATGTGGCGAACAGATTTCTGTGCCTCTGTTAGTGATCGATTTTATTTTATTCTTTGCCTTGTCTGGCCGAAACAATCCTTCGTTTCCCCAGGATTCGAATCCAGAACCTCTCGCGTTTAACGCATTACTAAGTAACACGATTTACTTTCAAGGTACAGAGGCGGAAATTATAAAACATATAGGTGTCTGTAAAAATACTTATTATGTGAGGCAAGAAACAAATAATTCCTATCACTTTACACACGCAATTTATCCCGTCTTTCTCTCGTTATTATCGTTTTTCTTTCTTCTGGATGGAAGCGAACCCGGAATATTTCGCACATACAGCCACAAGCAGCAATGCACAAGTAGTGTATATTATCCAGTTAGATGGTACGAAATGATTTAAATTTTTCTTCCGATGTTTTGACCCAACCATGAGACTTACAATGGAAGCTGTATGTAGCTTCCATTGTAAGTCTCATGTCTCGCACGTCCAAAATAATCTTCTAGCAGATACAACGCAGTTAGCATCTATTCGTCTTTAAATACCTACACACTACTACAAGCATCTCCTTGGTACTAGTGCATTAATTATCATTTTTATAGAAACAAGGTAAATATCTTTGGAATGACAATAATTAACTTTATACGACGTACGACCATTGCTTTACAGTTTAATATGACACGCTAGCCTTTATTGCCCATTTACGTCTTGATCTTCGGATAATGCTGTCCATAGCGTGGAGCATAATGGACTCTGCATGAGTGAATAAGGATCTAGGTATAAAAAATGGTCACTTAACCTTCATTTAAAATGTAAATTAGTATGATGTTAAAAAAATACATGAAAATGGAATTTTAAACGACTTATAGTCCCAATCGATGATAATGCAATTTTTAAAATTCCATCGGAATTACAAGAAATTCTGAATTGTCAGTTGAAATTAAATAAATAATAACATTTGTATTTATTATTAGTTTAGTGGGGTAGAGAATCAAACTACTTATTTAAAACTAGTTGTGCCAGCGACTTCGTCCGCATGGAATAGTTATTTTGGGCATCAAATTTATTTTTGCAAACTGCCTCCCTTACCTTTAAAAATTCTAGCTGTCGTCTGCGTGCCGTCTTTTTATTTTCTTCCTCAATAAATGACCCATCCAACACATAACATTTTTCAATTCCAACAAACGAACAAACTGGGTGAAAACTGTTCAAGATAAAGTTCAAATGATATTTATAAAGGAATTAATCTTTCTTAAATTATAAAAAAAAAATGTTCGTGACGAAATATGCCTGTCTATATGTATGTCTATCTTTTAAGATTACTTCGCCTGAACTATTCATATGGCAATTAAATTTGGTAGAAATATTTCATACAGCAATCTTGCTAGATAAGTAAGTTAGTAACAAAATATAATTTTATTATGTTAAGAATTACAAAATAACGATTTCAACGTTACATTTTAATTGTGTAGCAATAAATTTAGATCTCGGATTCGATTGTCGGAAGTTTCAATGTCAAGTCTTAACAAAATGTTACTTGCAAAAAACTCGCGTGCGAACGAAGTAACACGATAACTAAGTTATTTAGATAACAACTTAATTCGTTGTAGGTAATAACTTTTCTAGAAACTCTGGGTATAGATGTAAGATACAACAGTAAATTAATTACAAAATTGCTTTCAAATGTTTATATTGTCAATAACAAGACATTTCGTCGCTAAACGCAAGTGTGGGATTGTTAGCTTAAGTTAGTTACACAAAAACAGATAATAGTGTTTAAATAGTGTTTGATTACAAATACTAACCTGTATATCAACGGTGAATGTTATTAAATAAAACACTTTAACGGTTTAAAACACGATAAATAGTTAAGCTTATTGTAAAATTTTTTTTCAATTCGGCCCTTTGCTAAATCCATCAATTTCTGTTATCTTTCCAAGTTAAAGTCCGACTTTTCACCGCAACTTTTTGAAGTACTTTTACGAAAGTTTCCCGAGAAGGGATAACTTTAACTTTTGAGCTTATTTTGTATTCTGAGGTAAATTACATTTGACAATAGCATTTTCTTGAGATAGTAGTAGCAGTGGCGAGTAGTACGCATTTAAACAAAACACTTTAAAGGTTTAAAACCCGGTATATAATAGTTAACTTGTTTTTTTTTTTTCAACTTCGGCCCGACGTTTCGGATGCTTTGCAGAAGCCGTGGTCCCCGTTACCATAAGTCTAAGTAATATATATCGCGTTTTAAACCGTTTTAGTGATTTTTTTAAACATTATTAATCAGTTAAATTATTTAAGATTATTCAATAATTGATTTTAACCAACATTTTCTCTTAAAATTTCTTCTTTTACAGTTTTGTTTGTTGTAAGCTTATTTAGTGTTACCTTAATGTTTATGCCCATGTCAAATATCTAAAGGACTTTATTAATTTCTTAAAATAACTTAAACGAACAACTTGAAGCTGTTATCAATGTCGTAAGTTATTAATTAAAGTCAAGAAATGCGTCGTTTAATTGGCATTGCAAAAACAGGGACGCTTATTAATTTGAATATTAATCTTGTAAAAACACTCTAATTATAGCGGACATAAATTTAAGACCTCTTTTTTAAGTAATGATAATTTCGGAGGCGCAGTGAAGTTTTAGAATGTTTCCTTTGGAGTTTAGTAGACTTCAAACCGTCTCGTTCCACGGAGTCTTAACTGTTATGGTCACGGGAAGAAAGTTTATATCGCGTTTTAAACCGTCAAAGGGTTTTATTGCAGTGTGTACAACTCGCGTACACTACAGACAGTATTTTAGATCACTTTTTACTAATACCAATTCTCTTCATATTTAATAAACAAAAATTTTAACTGATTCAAAGACCGCGTATATAGAAATGTTTCATAGCCGATTTGTTTTTTTTTATTCCATTCTCGCTTGTCAATTAACTACGCTCTAATTTCCAACTAATTACGAATGATAATAAAACTATAAAAAATAAGATCAAACGCATACAAAACGTGGCATAATCTAGTTAATTCTTCATAACGAGTTTGTACCTTTCACTTGGAGCAGGTATAATTGCGTAACGTATTACGTTCTCGTGGCTCACCCGTGTAACGTAATTATTGAATTCGAGATTTAAATTGACCTTGAACTGGTTTACGTTTTGTTTTTTTTACAACCTTAAGTTGTTATATGAAACTAGTTTGGGTAAGACTGCGAAAATGCGACAAAACAAACTACTTGTTTTATTGGCATTATAGAGGCTGTTTACAGACTATCATATAAGAATGTTATTATTTATTACATTTATTGGTGAAATATAAACCTTAATTTTTCTTTAACTTCGTATATTACATAATCTGATGTAGAATAAAGTATCAAAAGAAAAAAAACTAATACGTTGTTTTTACATACATTTTGTTTGACAGAAGTTTGATTTAATATCCTTTGTTTTTCGTAACAATTTCGATAACTATAAGTAAAATAAATAAATATATGAAGGAGTTAATGTTGTCTGTATATTTTTATATTTCACGAAATTGCATTTGAATTTGATTAAATTATTTTCTAAAATAAAACAAAATTATCTTATATCAACAGGTTACATTTACATTTTTTTTTTTAAAGTCTAGCTTCATTAAAATACTATAATAAACTAAAATATAAGGTAGTGCTGGTAGTCAACATTGAAGTACTGTAGTCAATACAAGCAAGCAAAGTCGCGTGCGCACCTAACTTAGATAATACAAGAGCAAAGCATTGTACTGTACAATCGTTGCAAACTTATCTCAAGTACTCTCATCGAAACAATTGAGCAGAGTTATCGCTTATCAATGATATCAGTACTAATCTATCAACAATTGTAATTGTTATTTTTAGTATCGCTGATAATTGGAAGCTTCTTTTATACCCATTTATAATTCAATAATATTGTTGCAAGTTGATAATGTATCTAGGAAATGCAAATCATTTTCATTAAAGCCAAAGAGGTCCTTTGTTTGATAGTAGGTAGGCGCAAAAATTAGAAACTACCGTTTCTGTTTGAGAAACAATTTTAGTTTGAGGTAGCCAATATAACTGCAAATTTACAGCAAGGCAGTAAATTCTTAACTACACATTTTTATATCGATATTTAGATCATTGTTAACAAAACATTAGCTTATTTGACTAATTAGTCAATCCTATCGAAGTTACTACCGGAGAAATACTTCGATGTTTAAAATTTTTCAATATATTTAGGGAGATTCATAGGTTGAACGAAACAAAATTGCAGTGGGGGATATCCTAGTTACCTGTACAGTGGTCATGGGGGAAAATACGTCATAAATAAACAGCCTTAGTTAGTTCTATAACCAGACATCAAGAACGTCTATCGAAATAGCGTGTGCTAAAAGTTATATATTTCATTCGCATTTAAAAATGCACGTTATGCAAGCAGTCACGTTCGCGGTGTATTGCAGACATTCTACACGTGACTCGGTATGAGGCCGCGCGAACACGCCAGTGTCTATGACTCTTGGAACTTGTTATGACTGAAAACGCAACTGTCTATGTGCAGACTGCACACACATTTGTGCTATTTCACTGATTTCATTGGCAACAGTTTATCGAACTTCTATGCTCGATGAAAAAATATGTCCGTGGGATGCGATGTTAGGATCTCTAGGAGCTATTCGATGTTAGCCAAGGTGGTAATGTAGGCGACATTATCGTAAAATATCTTACACCATTTCGAAAACATACTGTTAAAGAAAAACCTTTTTGAAATTATGATAGAAAACTAATCTGGTTTTCCATCATAATGTCATCTAATAATTGTTAACATCAATCCGAGGCGGGTGGAAAATAAAGCACTTTCAAATGAAAATCTTTTAACGGTTTAAAAGGCGAAACATCGTAGTTATTTTTTACGTCATGAAATGTCGTCTGAAATGTCAAAAATGCGTTAGATAGATGCAAATATTAGAACGATGTATGTATTTAGTAAACTTCATTTAACACAAACCAACTTTGGTTCGTTACTTTAGTAATAGTTACAAACATACACGACCAAATGAAAACATTCGCTAGATCAAACACATTAGTTAATGTCGATAAGGTCATCGATGTTGTTGTGTATGCAAAATAAGTCAACACTTGATTTCGTTCACTATTTGTTTTACCGTACACAAACGTATGAATTTATTTCATTGCGTTTGGTGAAATTAAATTCGGTGATTGGGCAAAATAAAAATATTTTTCGAATCGTAATACTTTAACAGTCTACATAGCTCAATGCTTAGGCGTTAAGAATGTCCTGTACTTAAAATTCTGGGGGGGAAGAAATTTCTCGTCGGTTAGACAGGGCACAGAATTCTGCATGCTATTTGCTAAGAATCTAAGTAAATCTAAGTATAAGGTTTAGTCGTGAAAGTAGAAAATTTTTCTTAATATTGTAACAGGAAAAGTTCTCCCCGTGACCACGGCTGCTGCAAAGCATCCGAAACGTCGGCCGAAGTTAAAAATCATTTTCAAATAAGTTTAACTAATATATCGCGTTTTAAACCGTTAAAGTGTTTTATTTAAATGTGTACTATTCGCGTCATCTACAGACAGTATTTACATTAAGAAAAGTAAAGAATTGAGTATCCAAAACTTGTCTTAGCAACAAAATTAATTAGAAAATTATTCTTGTTTTGAAATGAAATTTTGAAAATTGATGATTCGGGTAAGACTTAAACCGGCATCCACAGTGTGTTGCTCTGATCAATTGAGCTACGGTTTAAAACTGCCCGTGTCGTAAATTTTTTCAATCTAAATTTTTTTTTATGTTTATTCTTGAACACCTAATAATTGCTTACTTTACAAAAAGTCACAAAGTTCAATTTATGTACTTTTAGAATTCAATAGACAAAAACTTGTTCCTGTACTTGAACGGTGGCAACTACTCCATGATTTAAAAGGAAACCTATTTATTTCGATCTCGAAACCTATATTAATTAGTTTTTTCTTCTTTCAGATAAATCGTTGCCGTTAGTGGAAACAAATCTAGATGTAAACCAGTCTGAAGAAAGCCACACAGCGCAGTGTTCTTGTCCGAATTGCGACGAGGTGCTGTCCAGATATTCTGAATGCAGTATTTGCTTGGAACCGTTACAAGTGAGTTACCCTTCATATTTCTATAATCGTTATACTTTAAAAAAATGACTGCAAGTGACAAGTCTTGCGTTTGCGTCAAATGGCGTTTATTTAATCACTAAAGTACGACACAAACGGGACTCGAAGCCACTGTGATCATTGTATCGCGCTGTTTGCCACACCAATTGAGCTGAAGATTCAAAATGTTCCTAAAGAAGACTATTTTTACAGACTCTACGAAAAACATCAAACTTTCGCCACAAAAAAATAACGAAGTTTCATTCAAATAAAGCACTGTCAACTGTTCAACGCGAAATATTTTAGTTATCTTATGTTAACTGCGGCACAACGTTTCGGGTGCTTTGCAAATGACCCCGGTGGACGGTGTCTCTAGTATTAAAGTCAAATCTGCTACACTAGCGCCATGTATGTAAATTGGATTGTTGGGTTCAAGTGCACACTGTTTTATATAAGTTTAAGAGAATAATAGGAATTCCGTGTATATATTACTGTCAACGATTTGTATACACTAATCATGTTTAGAATACAATGGTACAATTAATGTAAATACATTTGTTTTATAATGTTCTTTTACAGTGAGACCAGTTTTAATATTTATAAGGCCTTCATCGTATGATCCTATTTGCTAGTTTTATATACAAATTTAACAAGATTTTTTTAGGCTGGTTGGTTCAATGATTACAGCAACGTATGACGAATAGTTCGTAGGTTTGATTATGTTTGGTCTGATACATGTTTGACTTCGTCTGTATTATCTGGATATTGAATAGTTCGAAATGAAAATAACATAATGTAAAGTGCAAAGAAATCATAGGTCGACACTACATCTTATTTCGGTGTTATGCCTGTCATAAAAACGACCATATGAGTTACAAGATCTGTGTAATGAAATCTTTACGTATCTTGCAATTTGATAGAATTAAATTTAGGATTTGAATATCAGGTTTACTCTAAGCTCTAGTTAACGTTTGAAACAAAATATTATGTCAAATATAGTTTTACCAGAATTGCAATTGATTCGATTTCAATAAACTTATATTAAATATTGTCTGTAATTTACGCGAGTGGACATTAAATAAATCAGCTATTAAGGGTTTTAACTGTTGGCTGCTGGAAATTCGATACGTCGGGTCGTAGATAAAAATCAATTAACTGATTGGCGGGAAAACAAAACCGATTAAAAGCGTTTAATTTAAGTATACAGTCTGTGGTTTTCGCGAGTAGTACACATTTAAATAAATTTTAGTTTAGCGGTTAAAAATCCGTATTGTATTGATCATCTTAATTAAAATTTTAGCTACGGCTCGTTATTTAAATAAGATATTATTACGTTTCGCGTAATAATCTTGGCGTTTTAACCGTTGAAATTGTTTTATCTAATTTTACATTTGACTAATGCTTTAAAACTCCAATTTAAGCCTTTCTATTATATATAGTTATTTTTATACATATTTAATTACTATATTCATGGAAATGTCCAAAGCCAAAATAGGTTGACAGATCCAAGACGAAATGCAATCTATAATTATGTTGCGAAAGTTGTTTTTGTTGCATAATATTTTGTTTCTTGTTTCAGTGTTGCGGTCCATGCGTTTGCCCTTGGTGTGGTGGGGTCTGGTGCAACCGTTGCTCCCGTAGGATGACAAGATGTGCCTGGTGTCGTGGGGCACTTCGGACGCCCGCAACGCCTTGTCTAGCACTACAGCGTCTGATCAATGATCTCATGCTTCCTTGCAGAAATTATAGGTAATTTGAATAGTATTTAAATCAAATTTGTCAAACAATAAAGTATACATATAAAAATAACTATATACCACAATCGAATGCAGACATACAAATCTGTCTGTGTACTTTATTGTGTAGGTATAGTAAAAGGTCTAAATTTCTATAAAGAATATCTTGACGTTAAATATTTGTTTCCTAGTATTTTTTAATAGAGAAGGCTTTGTGAATTATATGTAAAACATGTTTTGATATTTCTCCGGGAATCAAATCTGCGACTTGCATTAACAGTCAGGTTGCAGTAAAAGAAACAAGTGATTTCGAAGGTAATTAAATGTACGCGATTAAGTTAGTCACCTAAACATCTTTTTTGTGCGTCCTAGAATCCAAAGCCTATTAAAAGCTCGATAAAGCTGAACACCATTAGCCCGGGATATACTTCCATCAAAATTTCTACTCCATTATCTCTTCACAAAAGGTGACTTTCCTCGACTGAACGCGACGACGTAAATTATCAAGTCTAGTTCCTGAGCTGGCTTTGAGAATGTGAGAAAAACGTGTCGAAAGCAATGATCGTCGTTACTTTTGTTTGTTTAAACGAAGAAAATAAAATAACTAACTTGTCATAATCGTAGGGCTAAAATTGACGAATAGTTTTTAAAAAGTTTTTAATTAGAAAAGGCATATTGTTTAAGCACAGATCATAAATCTAATTGAATGGAATAAAAATGGAATTATTTAAAAATTCGTTATCCAGGGTCGTTCGTATGCAAGTCTCTCAAGAAATTTTTTAGGTTTCAACAATACTCTAATAGGCCAGTTAATCAAATCTTTTATTGTTATCGTCTCTTTAATTTAGTCTTAAACACACTTAGTATATAAAGATAATCCCACACTGCTATAATTCGAGTTTTATTCTGTGGACTCGTAAACAGATCGTAAAAGTGCGTTAACTAATCAAATATTTGTTTTGTACCCAATCCTTTTCAAAAGCCGGATTATTTTTATCGCAAGTTTGGCTATAGTACTAGTTCGGTAATTGTTTTATGAACTTGATATTTCTCCTAAATCACTTCGGAAAATCTACAAAGTGAATAAGAAGAGACAGAAACAGATGGCGCTAGCGGAGCACATTTTGCCTTGTCATTATAAATATCCTTTATCTCGGTGACTACGGCTGCTGCATAGCCCCAAACTCGAGCCGTAGTTAAAATAAATAAACAATAAGTTACCTAGTATATTTCCCGTTTAAAACCGTCAATATTCTACAGCCTATAAAAGAGATCTAATTGGCTATATATACTTCAGTGTTTTTCCAAGAACCCATATATTATTAAATATTAAATTAATACATCTTGTCTGACTTGGTAAAAACTAGAGCCAACACATGTCGAACCGAATTTAATAACACGTAACCGTGTTTTCGCCAACAGCTAGCGTTAATTAATAACTAGGATTATTCGAGCGTATAATGTCATGTTTGGTTTCAGCAAACATTAATCAAGCTTTTATACTGATTAGCTATCATCTAATGCATATTTGACAGTTATGCGAATTGCCAGGCTTTTCGCGTTAATCTTGTCTTACGGAACGCGTGAATAATGTGAGGAAAACGTTTTGTTATAACCTAGTAATGTCCCACTGCTGAGCATATGTTTTAAGAGCTTAGAATCCACCGAACTGCTCCAGTGCGGATTGGTGGGCTATAAGAAATACGGCTTATCAATTAGTTGAACAATCGCAAACGATTTCTTTTATTGTCAAGCTCTCTCCTAGTACTTAATTTTTTTATAAAGACTAATGTTTGAATTCTGAAACGTGAAATGTTAACACTTCACGTAATCCAGAATGCAAACCTTCATAAAGACATCGACATCGAAAGCATTGCATTAAATTGGAATTTTGATGAAAAAACGCATCAGGCAGATGCTATGGGGCTGTAGTATATAGGCTCCTAAGATTATTTGAAGTAAGGCTACGTTTGTACGTAGGCTCCTTCACACAAAAATAGTATAATTTAAAAAAAGTATAAAATTTTTGTTCGTTTTCATAAAATGTTTTCCAAGCTCTTCCTAATAATTTGTGAGATCTCACTGAAAAAGCTCGACATTTTTATTCAGTTAAGGTTTTATATAAAATGAAAATGCATGTCCATTCAAAACTGTACCCTTTCAAAAGTATCTGAGGCAACATGAAAAACAGTTTTCATTTCAGTTAAAAGGGGAAATATCAAAAGATCGAAGCTTTTTGAAACCGCATGGCGCGGCGAACGAATTGAAATGCTGAAAATAAAGAAAAATACGAGCATTGGTCATGATCAAACATTCAGTTAGTTCACAATCGGGAGTTACAAAGAACTTTGAGCGTTATACTTAATAAATAAAACACATTTAACTGTTTAAAACGCAAAAGTTAACTTTTTAACAATTTATCTAGTCTCGCCGTGATCATGTCTGCTGCAAAGCAACAGAAATGTTGGACAGTACTTAAAATAAATTGTAAATCAGTTAACTATTATATTTCGCGTTTTAAACCGCCTAAAGTGTTATTTAAATGTGAACTACTCGCGTTAATAACGAATCATACTTAAATAAAATCTATGCTATGCTATAAAAGAAATCATACTTTTTTTCAACTGTATAATATTTTATATTATCTCTACTAATATATAAAGCTGAAAAGGTTGTTTGTTGGAACGCGCTAATCTCAGGAACTACTGGTTCGAATTGAAAAATTATTTTTGTGTTAGATAGAACATTTATCGAGATAGGCTATAACATAATATAACATCGCGATGTGACTAATAAGAGCGAACATACAGCGGGAAATATACAAAACGGGGGAAAATTTTCATCTCTGTGTTTTTCCGATGCGTACGCTGCGAAAACGGTTCAAGATACCCAAAAAATATGTATGAAAGAATGATTCCTCTTTAAATGATCTAGAAAAAACTGCCACGCTATATGTTTATATTCTAAAATTAACTCGAAAGAACGACGGGAAGGGACGCAACCGACGTCGAGGGTAACAGCTTAAGTTTATAAAGATGACGGGGTTTACAAAAATGGATTTGGATACCCAAAATAACGATTCTCGCGGACGAAGTCGCTGGGACAGCTAGTATGAGATATATGCCGAAACCCTGTCAATTAAAACATGATACTATAAGTCAGTATAACTCTGTAAAATATAGGCCAAAAACCGAAAATAACTCGCGCACTAAAAACATGAAAGTCAATAAAATATACTGTAGGCATAGACTATTTTATTAGCTAAACATATAGCTAATTAGTGAATATTTGTTCGCTATCTTGACTCATTAAGAAAACAATGTTGAGGTTTTCTACGTGAACGTGTAAATAAATACATGTCCCTCATATATGGATGTAGATTTGGTTAGAACATCAAACGTCATTAAAAATTACTAATCCGTGTAGTTTAAAATCGTCATTTAAAAGTAAATAATGTTTTAATTTAACAACAGAATACAATCAAATTTAATTATCTTTGTCATTTTCTAAATTTCGCTTCCTTTTTCGCCCTGCCTTTTTCTTGTAAAAAATAGAAACAGCAAAGTTTTTTTTGATTAGGGAAAAACTGAATAAAATATTTTAATCTAACTAAATCATACCTTTTTCAACAGACGAGGCTGCACCGAACTCTTAACAGCAAACACGAGATCTAAACACGAGGAAGAGTGCAAACACGACACAATGGTGTGTCCCATAACCCCAACCTGCTGTTCCATACCCTTCGAAGAACTATCAGCTCACCTCCAATCAACGCATAACATCATAGCGGTGTACTCTCAAAAGATCAAGATCTTAATTGAGAACTTCCAGACTAAGTTGAAGAAGACGGCCTGCTGCCGAACAAAGTATAAGATCATACTCCTCTATCAGAAAAGCGCTTTCATAATCAAGGTCTGCATCTACAACTACCACGTAAAAGTTGAAGTGATGAGGAGGAAACTCGGGCACATAGCTGACGCTAAATCGGAGACGAAGAAGAGCGACTACTGTGCCTTAATAGAGTTTCAGAGCAACTCGCTATGCACCAAATCAGCTATACTAATAGAAAACGAAGCTTATAGTAAAAAAGCTGAAGTGCAATGGAGTGATATTGTTTTGAAATCTGAGAACGATGAAGCAATAACGATACACGTCAATATTGGAAAAGCTGATGGCGATCCCAATGTTAAAGAAATTGCTGAGACGTGAGCGGTTTTAGATTGAGGTTCAGAGACTACTGACTTGCTTTCGTGATCCAAGGTGGTTTATATTCTGTTAGTTAGCTCTAGCTATCTTTTCGAATTTATTAAATCATATCTTCTCACATTTTCCTAACGGTATTTACATTTGAAACAATAGCTGAAACAGCTAATTTTAATACAAATTCACCTATTTGTACAATTTTTTACTTTCAACGCTTTCATTGTATTTTAGAAAGAATTTAAATTAATTAGACGCGTTTATCCTGTATACAATTGTACTCGGTTGTTTAATAAACGATATTTATTCACAGTCAGCTAATTTCCATTAGGGCTAATTTCAAACTTAACTGTCAACACAAATATGAAGATGTTAAATTCAGATTGTTTCAACTCAAATGTTACGTTTGTACGTTAAATTATTTACGTTGCTTAGTTATATGACAAACTGTGCATTATTATAATGACGATAATAAGCTCTCATAAACCAATTGAGTCTTTATTTACTATTTCGTTTCAAGAATCATATGCATTAGGTCCTTACAGCGACCCGTCTCTGGTCTCTGAATCTTGGTGATTGTACTGAAGGTTTGTGATATTAGAATGTTTAAAAGCAACAGTGCTCTGCTCAACGGTTTAATGTAAATATAAAATTTTTGCGTCCTATTAAGTTATGTTTAAGTGTATTTTTATATTGTAAACCACTAGTGCCTCGAAGAGCACATGAAACCCACCATCTAGCAGTGGAGCCTGGTGGGTTAACTCAACCCTCTCCCATGCGAGAGAAAACCTGTTCCCAGCTGTGGGAGAGTAATAGGTTTAAACAAAACCATAAGTATTAGTTGTATTATATTATGGTCATCTATCGCATATATTCTAGATTTAATATTACTACTACCATTCCTAGTCACTAGAAATCTTAGATTGTGAAATAACAATAAAATGAAAAATAAACTGACAATACAAATTTCAAGTGTGTAGATGTTTACACAAAGTAAACAAAGATCAATATTAAATATTTGGTATTTATTGTTTAAATTTCCTTAAAAAGCTATGGACTGCTTATAGCTTTTAGCAAATGAATTAAACAATTATTCAAATATTTAAGTTACCTTATGTGTTGTAGATATTTGACCATTTTATAAGGTATTAACGAATCATTCCATTTTGTATAATTTAAAGCAATCTGTGCTCACTCTAGAATAATAAACAAAATGTGACTGATGCTAGCGTAAGATTTTATGTACAATTGTGTCTTGCAAAATATAATATGCAGAATTAATTGAATTTTATTTAAATTCCCCAAGCTTACAAAGACATTTTAATACCTCTTGAATGAGCCAAAGAGGAAATAAATAAATTTTTTTGCCGACACAGTATAGTAATTGTTCTTAAATAAGTAAAACTAATTAAAATAAGCCCAGACATGTTCCATCTATGTTAAAGTGTAAAAACACAAAATCTATAATAATACAACTTCAAAACGTCGAACTTAAGACCAGTTGTAATTTATAAACCCATTTTTTTATGATAAAGGAGGATCGACTAGAGGCCTGAGGTTCATTAGATGGTGACTCCAGACGTTTTATATCTAAACAAGTTACCCCGTCGACCTTTATTTTGGCTTTAGATATTCGAATTAATTAACAGACTGAAAAAAACACAAGATTAAACTTCTCGGCTTTTCATCTGTGAGAAGTGGTACGAGACCTGGATAAAATTTCTAACCACATTTTCAGATGAAGTCCTTAGTTCTTCAGAAAAATAATACAATAAGAAAAATGTTGGATTGCTACTATTTACAACGGGCAATTCCAACGGGCTTGTCAAAATTGTTTAGATTAAACCTACTCGTATATTCGGCGATAAAGAACAACGTAAACTAGAAGCAGAGCAGTGTCGTCCGAATCTTATAAAAAGCGGAAAAGGTTTCATTATTATTCTCAAAGCGGTACCAGGACGTGAGAAATAAAAGGCGATAAAAATATCTGACTCCGCCGTATTGAAAGAGTTTTTTATTCAATTCATATTACTTACGATATCTCTCCGCGTGATTTTATTGAGGCTAGGAATTTATTAGAGATTTTTCTCTCGTGAATATATAATAGGGCAAGATTGATAGGCCGGCCTTCGGCTCGGGATGATAAACAGATTTAGTTGAAATTTTGCATAGTTACTTTTTCATCGATTTTCACTGGATTTATATTTTTCATGTACTTTATGTAGCAATAAAATAGTAGTATTTTTATGACAGACTAGGGTACACAAGCATTATTTGATGGAAGACAAAATACCTCAGCCATGTAACACCGAAATAAGATGCGTTGTTTCCTTTATTATAATACTAGCTGTGCCCGCGACTTCGTTCGCGTGGAATAGTGACTTGGGGTAGACTTTTTAATTACTTAGGCTATTTATTAATTTATGTAATTGCGCATTTATCGCAGCCAATCTATGTTGTAAGTGCTACTTTGCCGCAACACTTTCACCCCACATCACTCCTACTCTAACTCCCACTCTCACTCTCACTCCCACTGATATTTCCAAAAAGCCAAAGAAGAAAGCTTCATTGTTCTAGCTTCAAAAACCACGAATTTTCGTACAAACTTTCACCCCCCCCCTCTTCAATCCCTTACAACCCCCTTTGCGCAATAAAAAGTAGCCTATGTTCTTTCTCAGGATATAGACCATCTGTGTACACAATTTCATTCAAATCCGTTCAGTAGTTTTGGCGTGAAAGAGTTACAGACAGACAGAGTTACTTTCGCATTTATAATATTAGTAAAGATTAGCTTGGTGAACCGGCAAACTTTGTTCTGCTTATTAGGCTGTAAATTTTTTTGATACAGAATGACAGACGAGCATTGAGTCCAGATGGTGGTAAAGTAAAATATGCCAGCTATAAGTATAACATCTAACAGCGCTGTCGACACGTGTTGGTTTTGGATATTCGAAGTGTTTTTTTATCAAACACTTTAAACGGTTCAAAACAATTATTAGTTAGTACAAACTAGCTAAAAATCCTTGCAAAAGAAAGTCGATTTATCCCAGTAGAAACACCCATTCCTATATAAGAACAGCTCAAGGTATCAAACACCTAACTGCATTCGCCATGAGTTCTGAAGGGACCCAATCCGTTTCTCTAAATACCAACCAACGTCTAAACAGATGGCGCTAGCGTAGCAGATTTGACTTTGACATAAAGGTCTATTTAAAACGTCGGGCTGTAAACAACTTATAAACGATATGCTACTAACCGAATTATCTCTTAACCCACAATGTTTCAGAAAGTAGCATTTTGCGAAAATATTTAACGATCAATCAATGTGAAATTATTTAGTTTGCAAGACAAAGTGACATGTTATGTTAACCTAAATTGCCTAAATCAGCGTTAGATGTATGGGGTGAGACAGATACATTTATATGTTCGTTTTATTCATAGATTTTACATGAAAATCCTATAATACTTCTATACGCATACCGATATTTTTATAATGTTGCGTTCATCGAACTCGGGACCGCTTAACTTAATGTGAAAAAATGTGTAAAGCACTTCAAAAAAGAAAGGAGGGGGGAGGAAATTTTTCCCAAAAAAAAGTTTTTTTTTTTTTTAAGGGGGGGTTTTTTTTTTTGGAAGAAGGAGGAGGAAAAAAAAAAAAAAAAAAAAAAAAAAAAATTTTTTGGGGGGAAATAAAAAAAAAAGGGGTGTTTTTTTGGGGGTTTTTTTTTTTTTTTTTTTTTTTTTCTGCGCTCCCAACAGTGGCATTCAGAAGTTAAAAAATCTACTACTAGTTAAATAAATAAATAATCAATTTATTAAACCAAACATACTTTCAACTTAAATAAATAAAAAACAAGGAGAGGGGACGAAATTAAAGTACAATTTTAAACTTTGTGGTCAAAGGCACCAGACTCAACTTGCGCTTGACAGATAATTTGAATTATTTTTTATAAATAAAAAATAAAACGTAGTATAAATCATTGTTTTTGTGATGTATAACTGCGGGTAGTTTACAAAATGTTGAAAAGTAATGTTCGTGTTATTCGATGACGTCAGGCTAACACCTGGTCGGTTGTTTGTGAGTTGTATAAAAGGGGGGTGCGCTGTAAAGCGGGGAGCAGTGGCTCTGGAGCGATCGCACGGTAAACGCTGGTGGAACGTTGTTGGAACGTTGTTGGAACGTTAGAGGTTTCAGAATATGTTTAAAATCGTATATCTGTATTAATACCTATAATGCGAACATTGGTTGAACATTGGATGGTTCAGGTATGATGTACATTATTATATTGTAATAAATAGGTTGTGATATATTATGTACTTTTTTATTATATTGAATTGGCATCAATATATGTCAATTAAGTATCGTAACCTTGTGTAATATATAGATAAATATCTTCAAATCAATATATAAATGGGGTACCATTATTTGTTAGATTCCTAGACGTTTTTATACAATAAATGTGTTGCCGGTATTATGGGGAATACGTTGCTGAAATGTAACATCTTGTTTAACGAAATAGAATAGTTTTTGACAGTATATCTTCTTGTTATTTACATGTTATCCTTAAAATCTCATATAAACCAGTGTCTTTAATCTTATATTAGGTCACTTTATAAAAAAATCTAACATCAGAAGTGGGATCGATCAATACAGTGAATAAAATACCTCACACCATGTTTTCTCGTCTAGTTATATATACATTTGTTTTTCTTCTTATTATGTCACATTGTTTTTTTTTTCTCGTTTTTTTTTTTTTTTTGAAATAAAGATAATAACGTGTACATTAAGTACTTATAAAGGGATATGACACGTAAATTTGTTAAATATATATCGAGATTTTGAGGATGCAGATGGATTAGGATTATAAATTTCTAAAAAGAAATCGGCAACGTATTCAGATACTAGCAATAGATTTTGTGCTTAATTTTGTTTCGAATCGTTTTAGCCGAACATAGTAAAAAAAAAAAAAAAACCCTCACTTTGGATGAATAATCGAGATAAGTATCCA